CGAAAAACTTTTGGCCAAAACAAGTAAAAACAAAGTAAGGAAGTATGTATAAATCAGAATTTCTGACCCACCAAATTTCATTGTAAAACATAAAAGAACTTTTTGGCAAACCCTATGAAACAATCTGTAAAAAGAGATAGCGCGTAAGGAATTAAAACATCGAAGTAGCTTGAAAATTATCGACGACGGTGACAAATAGTTTACGACAAAGTTCGCAATCCTGTGTTTTACTAGACTCTTTGCAAGAAGTTTGCACTTATCAGTCACGACAGAAAATATAATAGAAACAGAGCCGGGTCAGAAATGACCCACGTCAAATTTCACTCTAAAACGTCGAAAACTTTTGGCCAACCGAAAAATCTCTAAAAGGAGACAGCACATGATGAATTAAAACATCGAAGTAACTTCCAAATGATCAATGATGGTGAAAACTCCTTTACGACAAAGTCAGTAATCCAGTACGTTACTAGACTCCTTGCAAAAAAATTTGCACCTATCAGTCGCAACAGAAAATACCTTGCACTTATCAGTCACGAGTCGAATTTCGCTCGAAAACATCGAAAACCTTCGACCAACTCCACAAAACAACCTACAAAAAAAAAGAGAGTAGGAAAGTATTTATAAATCAGGATGACGAGTCACCGGACGAGAACGCCTGCAGCGCCTACTTTTTGCCTCTTTTCTCTCTCCGCTTTTCACCGACCGCGATTACACTTCCGATTTCCCAATGCCCGTCCGGTCGATGAACGCGATAAGGCCGATGGAATTATTTCTCTCGAGCGGGCGTAGAAATGTCGGGCGTCCGAATAACGCGGCGACACCGACGCTGCCGACGGCTAGGAGCACCGTAATTCATTAGACGCGCGTCAATACGCAGGAATAACGAGCAACCGCGATCTTGCACCGGAACACCCTTCTTCTCTCCCCCTTCTGCTATCGATCATCGAGCTGCCACGATTCGCGTTTCACGCGAATTCTATTATTTTCCAATTTGCCCGCACAAGTGAAACGGTAACTTCTTCGCTGGTGCACGGTTTATGGGCAGTTCGAGGACAGTTGACACTTTGGGAAATTTTAGAGGAGGAATTCTTTTGGTCGCAGAAGGTATTTTTACTTATACTTTGGCTCGAATCATTTGTAAATTGGAAAAAGAATAAGTTTCCGCCAATTTAGACTGATATCGAATCTGTCTCTAATGCTTCGTGCATTCGGAGCTGATATTGTGGCAATCAATAGCAATTTACTTCGCCTCGACAGACTTTTAAAAAATTCGCGAGGCAGTGGGATAGAAGATTTATGAAAATTAACGAATAACGGTGTTAACTTTCCTCTGGAAACCCTTTTGCAACTTGTAACACAAAATGGTCCCAAATTTTTAACCCACAGTGTTCAATATTAACCCAATCAAAGAATCCCTTCTCACATTCGATCCAACAGTATCCACATTAAAATACAATAAACATCCTGTGCACCCAAGTATTAAAAAAAAAAACTATTTCTCTCAGAACAGTGGACACTGCAACCACGTTAAAAAAGGCAGTTTCAGCAGCGACAGATAACGCTGAAAATCTCTGCTCAACGATCAGCTCGTAAAACAGCCATCGTCGGAAAAGAAAGGACCCATTTGGCGGGAAAATGGCGAACGTCACGGTAGTAAGACTTCCGGCAGGTGGCTCGTTAGATTTCCGCCACTCTGTGACATTTCGCGGTGCGTTTAAGATCCGTTAGAATCGGGCTGGGATTAACGAGGTAGGAGCGGTAACCGGGGTCCATTTGCCAGTGCGTTTAATTGACCGTCGTCTCAGCGAATTGCCGCAGACATGGCTGAATCATCATCAGCAATTCTCCTCGCATCGCTTCCTGGCCCATTGTCGTTGGTACAATGTCCGGCGGAAGGATCTGGACCAAGAAGAGCGACCACCGCCCCTGGCCAGTCATTGTTTCGTCACTTTCAAAGACTACTTTGTCCTCGCAAGAGGATTCTTTGTTCCATGTCTCGAGGAGACCTCGTTCAGAGATGAAAATTTCGTTCGATGGTAGACGATGTTTCGTAAATATTGTGGCAGGATGGTGGAACAATGCTTGCACACTTTTCGGAGAGACGTTTCACCGGTGAACTGGAAAAATTCTCAACAGCCCTCCTAAAATCCGACAATTGCTAATTTATTTTTCTTTTCTTCGCACAGTTCAAACCTTCAAAAAGTAATAATTCGACCCTACAAATCCTTCGATAATCTTACTAAATATAGTTTCCTTACTATTAATTCAATTCACAGTGAAGAAAGGTCCCTGAACCACAGCAATTTTCAAAAAGAACAATTCAATACACCCAGTACACTCCAGAAACTTAAAAATTAGTCAGCCACTCTTAATCGCTTCGTTCTTTCCACCGCGCTCATCGCTCGAGCGAGCGTCCTTGAAACTGAAATATTCGGCGCAGGCTATAGCGGGCGAGCTCCGCGTTACACGTCGCGTCACCGCGGTCTGTTTCGGCTCGGAGTGTATTTAACTCGGCTAATAGTTAATCAACGCACGTATGCACTTCACCAGACAGAAACATCCCCGAGGAAAGTTCGGAGGGATAGCCGAGCTCTCGCATGCTTGATTACGGACGAACGAGCCAGGGATAGGAGACGCTTTAATAACTTCGTAACTCTACTTACGAATTGCGGAAACGAGGCCGGATTACCGACTAAACGCCCCGCGGTTTCACGTAGAATTTTCTTCCCACGAAATTCCACCAGCCACCCCTTCTTCCTCTCCAAACAACAGAAGAAAGGGGTGGAAAAAAGGAAAAAGAAGAGAGAACGAAGTTATTCTCCCTCGCTTTTCCTTTGTTCGCGCAAGGCCAGTTGCGATATTTTTCAACCCGTTTTCTTCTCCCTTGCCTTTTGTTCCACTTCGAAACAGTGATAAATGGAACACACTGGGAAATTTTATGGAGTCGATTAGATTGTGCGTTTTACCGTCTTCTTAGTGTTCAATTAAAACGAATGTTTCTTTCTTTTCTTTTTTTCAAGTAGAAATAGTGTGAAAATGAGAGGATCGATGGAGAGGATAGATGCTCGAAAGAAGCAGAGAAATGGTTGTTGCTCTTGCGCCTTTAATCACCTTAGTAGTTATTCAAGAGTAAAAATACTTACAAGTCGGGTAACTTACAATCGAGTGAATGAGTGATCGCCGTTGCTACGCGCCTTGTCGCAGGGACAGGCTCTTAAAAAGTATATAAACGACGTTCCTATCGATCGCGATACCAGCGAGAGTTTGCAAGCGTTTACGAGAATACGCGATGTAAAAAATGCTACGTTAAAATTGTCACACTTACGCGTTGAACTTGCCCCGTTTGTCGATCGTTTACCAGTGGAAATTGAATCGCAGTCTGACTCTTCGAATTACAAAAGAGAATCGCGGAGAGATCTGTCGCCTCGAGAGCCTTCTATTGTGTACTCAAAATCTAACGAATTTCCGCGAAAGGGAGGATCTTCCTGTCGAACGGAGAATCGACGAAGAGGGACAAAAAAGGATGTTTCAGCGTGAATCGCGATGGAATCACACGTCGAACGCGTCAATTCTCCGCGAATCGGATATTCGAAATCGGTCGTTTGAACCGCTTTAACGCGTCTGGGGAATTGAAATCTCGTTCGACGCGAGGAATGAAATTCTAACGCGTGAAACAACGTCACGGTTATAAATCCCGCGTGGATAAACATCTCCAAGGTTTTTAATCCGCAGTTTTTTCTCGCAAATGGAAGAAACAGTTTGAACGATAAAATACATATATTACACGTATGTACACGTATCGCGGCTTCGAGGGGAGAGCGACGTAACTCAGCTGACTATCGTTGATTCTTTCGGTGTGCTGGCCAAAGGGATGCGTTTGTTCCGAGTGTTCGAGACTTCTTGACGTGAATTCTTTTTAGAATAACATTTGTTCAATCGTAAATTCGTTATTTTCTCGACACTTTATCTACGGATTCGTCGCCAGATTTTGGCTACTGCGCAGAAATGGCGTGACAGAGACGTCACTCTTCATTTACTAACAAATGAACGTGAAATAGGAATTTTAGCAAAAATTAACCAAAGAAAAGTAAATCACTCAGGTCCGTTCAATTTAAGAGTAACCTCGCTCTCCGACCGATTTTCGTCGTTCTGCGCATAGAGAGAGAGAGCGCAGCAGAGGAGAAAAACGTAGGCGGTTAAGCGGGGGTTTGCCTTAGGCACGTCCCATGCGCGAAACGAGGTTACTCTTAAATTGAACGGACTACAGAACCATCTAATCCAAAGACCGTCGATTTTAGAGGTCGACGACCTTTGAGTAGATAAAGTGTTGAGAATCTGGATACCCTATGCTCTACAGTCATCTATATTGGCAGCCTCTGTGTCTCGTGTATACTAAGCAGAGGTGAGAAGTTGGTTAGCTTAAGGAATGCAGGTTTGTTTGGCTTCTCTAATATTGTCATTATTGGCAGACACAAAAAGTTTCACTCTCTCCGTCCTCTCAACTCTGCACAGTACACCGCTGTCGCGTCAGCTGGCAGCATCTCGCCTCGCTAGCTGCCGCTATCCCCGCCAATTTTAGGAACTGGCCTCACGGAGTAAGCCTCCAGCGTTAATTAAGTGGAAGTAGAAACTAAATAAGGACCTCGATACATCAGTGGAGTAGAAAGATACCGAGATTTTCCTAGAGTTCTACCTTCTCGAGCCAGCTAACGCGACATTGTCTATTAAAATTATTCTACTTTTGATATTAGCTCAATCTTCTACCTGCTAACAGTAATACATGAACCACTGAATCTACCTAAAAGTCATCTCGAAAGACGCTCTAACATCGAAAAGCCTCGAACATCGCAGACCACCGGAAGATTCACGACAGAGACACCCGTGCAGAAGAAAACACTCTGCTGGTTTTGACAGAAAGAAGAACACGAGAGAACGTCGCTTTCCTCGCGAATACCCGACACACACAGAGAGAGACACGGCTAAAAAGTTTACTGGCAGAATATCGTTCCCGACTGTGATCAACTGGAGAACAAACGTAGGAGGATCCAGCGATGATCACGGGAGAGATAGAGAGAGACATATAGAGAGACGCACGTTTGCTTCTCACGAGATCGATCGCTACGAATTTCGAACACGAATGTTGTCCTCGTTCCGTGACAGCATGGTCGCCAGCTCGTACTGAAGGCTCCTCGGGATGTCCAGTTGAAACGCCTGTCGATCGTGCGTCAGACGCCGCTTGATGGCCCTCAGAGACAGCTCGCGCAGCGTGTACACCGGCAGAGTGATGTACACGTTCGTCCTTTCGGGCCTCTGAGGCAGCTCTCTCGGTGGATTCTGGTTACGAAGCCTTCGATACTTGGCGAACCACGGCTCCGGGAAGAACACGTTCTGCTGATTCACCGTGTACCTGAAATAGACGCGTTCTACGTCCATCCTGCTCTCCGCAATATCGTTTTTCACCCTCGCTTCCTCTGTCACTTGTCGTCGAACGAAGAAAGAGTTGCGACTGTTTTTTCCTAGGGGGGCTTGCTTCCTCGAAGATGTTCCATAGGTTTGTTATCAATGAAACACCCTATGTATTAGATATTATCGTCTAAGTGTGGTGATGGAGACTTCGAGAGTTGGAACTGGTGTGTTTCGAAGCTAGACAGTCCTTCGAAGTTGCACTCCAGTGCAACGATAACGAAGAAAACCGAAGTGAAATACACCTTCTAACGAGTCGAAGACGATACCACCAGGCAAAGATCCAGCCTGGTCCCAAACTTCAACTCTTTCTTCGTTCAACGCGTGTTCACAAACGATGTTCGCGCCAAACAGGATTCGATCATCGGCTACTACTTCACAGCTAAATGAAATCTTCCTGATCGAACTAGAACCTATAGATCTATCGTCCAGAGGAAAGTTCTCCCTCGAAGAACGTAAGAGGAAGAAGGAAGAAAGATCGTGGTTCCTCTGTAACGAGCGAAGAGGAAAGCAATTCTTCGAAGACGGCCTACCTGTCTCTAGACTCTTGGTCAACGAAGATCCACGGATGGGTGACGAACGTGTTGATGTCGAGGCTATCGTCAGGCGACAGCACACCGTAGCTGACTGCCTGTCCCTGGTAATCGATCCAATAAAGGATCACGTTGTGCAGCGTCTTGTTGATGAACTTAACGAAGGACCTCTCCACGTTGTTGATCGAACGCAGCTCAGGCGGCTGCTGTTCCTCCTGATGATTCTCTCCCATTCTTCCGTCGATTTTCTAGCCTCCACCCGCCACGCCACACCACTCAGAAATCTCCTTCGCCCGAATATCCCGCTCTTTTCCACCTCGCCACTTTCTCCTCCCCTCGTCCTACGGTTTCGCGACGACTGAAAGCAGAAAATCGAGCGGACTCGGATTAATCGACGGACGCCTAGTTCGGGGGCTCTGCCGTAATGAGTTTCCACGCGAACGCCAATTTCTTGCGAGTTTCTTTTCCTTCTAATTCGCGGAAAGCTTGAGATTTTTATCCTCCGCTAACTTTTGGATAAAGAAATTTGGGAATGTTCAACGCTTTCGGGTGGTTTTCCTTAATTACTGAAAATTTGAGATATTCCTTTCTTTGTTAAATTCCGCTCCGCTTTTCAATTTTTAAATAAAGAAATTTGAGAATGTTCGATGCTTCGGTGTGCTTTTTTTTTTAATTTATGGGAAATGTGAGGTTTCGTCCAATCTCGAATTTTTAACTAAAGAAATCCGAGAACGTTGAATGGTGTTTGAACAAGCGTGAGAAATCCACGCTTAACGTAATTCCGTATGATAGATTTAATTCTGTTTAATGCCGCGCGATTAAACGGATCGAGCGTGTGAATTTTTGAGGAAAGCAAATGGAAGACCGATAATTGGTCATAGACACTCGATATACGAACGAACAGTTTCGCTTGAAAATTTCAACGCGATGAATTTTTCCGCCGCACGCCACTCCGGCATGGGAAGGAGGAAGGATACGAGTCGGAAAATCGATGGGACGTAAACAATTTCAGCGGCCAAACTGCCGAGCCAACGTGAACGCTGGTCAACATATCATAAAAAAACGCTGGAATATTTGTTCGCCGATTTTTTATCCCCCTTCGTCTCTCTTTCCCGCTGTGTTTGCCCGCGCCGACTCCATTTCTCCGACCAAACAGGAAAATATTGGGGGGCGAAAAAGTACCGGCGGCGTGAAATTTGATAAAACCGTAACGTGTGAAAATAGAAACGCAAATTGAGTATCGCGTTGCGTTTTTGTAATCTGTGAAACTTTCTCTGGAGGAGGTAGATTTTCCGAAAGGGCAACAATTTGGAGAACGACGCTCGGAGCTGACCGAGCGTGGAAATATGAATAATTGAGAATTTAGATATTTCGATGTGTAGAAATTTGAATATATGGATATTGGCAAATTTGCAAGTTTGGAAATTTCGACATTCCAACGTATAAATATTCGCAAATTTGGAAATATCGAGGGTAGGAGAACTTGCAAACTTGCAAATTTGGAAGTTTGAAATTTGAAAGTTTGTGGATTTGAATGTTTGCAAATTTTGAAGTTGTGAAGATTTAAATATTTGCAAATTTAAAAGTTTGAGGATTTAAATATTTGCAAATTTTGAAGTTGTGAAGATTTAAATATTTGCAAATTTTGAAGTTGTGAAGATTTAAATATTTGCAAATTTAAAAGTTTGAGGATTTGAATATTTGCAAATTTGAAAGTTGTGAAGATTTAAATATTTGCAAATTTTAAAGTTTGAGGATTTGAATATTTGCAAATTTTGAAGTTGTGAAGATTTAAATATTTGCAAATTTTGAAGTTGTGAAGATTTAAATATTTGCAAATCTGAAAGTTCGGAAATTTGAATATTTGCAAATTTGTAAGTTTGCCAATTTAGCCATATGGGTATTAGCAAGTTTGAAAAAGCGAGAGTTCGAAGGTTCGAAAATGTGTAAATCTGCAAATTTGGAAGTGCGGAAGTTCGAAGGCTCGAAAATTGGAATATTTGAAAATCTAGAAAATTTCAGAATATTTCAATTCCCAAAGTAACTCCAATTTCTACGCTGAAACGAAGCGAGGCAAAGAGCGAAGAGTCCAGAGACAAAGGTGGAAAAGTTCAAGGACCGAGACGGGATGGCTAATAATTCATTTAAATAATATCTGACATTAACTCGACGCGGGACTCGTTTACCTAGGCGAAGTAATCAATCATGGGATGGTAATCAAATAGCTGTACATTTCCTGACGGTCCTCGTTCGTCACTGAGGAGAAACGTCAAGGCGAATGGAAACGAGCCTGTATTCTCGTACTATAAATGCACGGTGCACTTATCCATTAAACGACGATCCTGCGCCTGCAAGTGTCTGTCATCTGAATTGGAACAGTTTCTCGACAGACAGCTTTCTAGAGTGACAAGTTACTTTATTCAATCACTGCCCTTCTGACCTCTCCATTTTAAACTGATTCCTTTTATTTTATACCCGATGATTGAATATTCTTTATGAACAATTCTCCTCTTCAGTCTCAATTATATCTTCTCGAGGGAAAAGGAAAATGTTGTCTGCCCGAGATCACTTCCCTCTGCTACCCTAATTTCAGCCTCGCTCTCTTCATTCGGTAACTATCTCGACGCTACATCTTCTCTAATAAAGAATTTCAGATATAATTATTCCACGTCTATCTTTTCTCGGAAGATTTAAGCACTCGAGTGTTTAAAGTTCTCGGGGATTATTTATTTAGGGATTTTCTTATTTGGGATTCTCACATTTTCAGAACCATTCAAGTCCTACCTCTTCCACTCAATAAAAACACCAGAAATAAAATCATCCCTTTAACACCAACGCTAAAAAAATCTCAAAAATCCAACTTTCCTCTAACTTCTCCCTAACATTTCCAAAAAGAGAAGAGCTTAATCGAATAGAAAATGTCTTGGCCCCCCGACACAAAAGAAACGACGCAGAATTAGGTGCAGCGGTGGCGTGAAACGAGATCCCGTTTTTCAATTAAAATTTTCGTCACAAAAGGGTGGCAAGCGGTGCGCAAAGGCGGAAAATCGATTGCTCGCATATGCGCGTATTATTAAATAGAAACGCAAGGCTCGCAGAGTGTCTAGCGTTTCCGGGCTTCCACTTTTCCACGGTGAAAAGCCGTAATGGAGTTTCGGCGTTCACCGCCATTGTTTTGCAGTTTTATAAGCCGATGAGAGAGTACCGGCATCGCGTACCACCGGATGGAAGCGACCGAGACAGAGCGATTTTCCAACGAGAAACCGACCTGTCCCTGACCAAGCTTCGCCATTCCCTTATTTACTGTACTTAAAAATAGTCCCTCCTCCGCGATTTTTCTCCAAAGAGGATTTCTGCGGCCTGGAGGATTGATGAGCGTCGTTTGAAGTAATTAAAAGTTGCTACGACTGGAATGAAGCTCCAAGAGATTTAGAGAATTCGTTTCCCCTTCTAATTTCCACCAATTCTCACGTCCCTTTTTTTTTTCCTCTGATTTTTGTACAAGTTGCTTTATTTAACAAATTTTCAACGTACATTTCTTTAGAAATTGCTTTCACTGTCGTGATCTTTGGAATTGCCGTTTACTTAAAATTCTCTATTTGACAAATTTTCAAGAAAAAGTGAAGGATACAACACTTATTTAAATAAATCACCTTCTATGCAGTTCATTTCAAAAAATAACGCCTCGGACACACTTCTAATATTCAAACGATTGAGCAGTGGCTGCAACCGATGCGGCTATAGCCTGCGCCGAATAAATGGCCCGCTCAAGGTCTTCCCCCACTCCTCACAAACCTCACTATCTCGCGTTGAACATCCGAAAAATACAAATATTCGCTTCAAACCCATATCTGTTCGGAAAAAA